GTTTTGGGCTCCGATAAAAATCGAGATAATTGTGGTTGCACTTCGGCTGATCCCAATCCAGTGATTAAACGAAGAGCTGTGCTTTCCACACATAAATGTAGTTGGGTTTGATTAGTCTGAGGCACAGCTGCAAGACTATGTAAATGAGACAAAAGTTGCACTCTATAATGTGGTTGTATGTGGTGCATCCTATAACTAAACATTTCTAAAAGAGTATACAATGTTCCCCATGCGTGAGACTTAAAAACTGTTGGTAGCAATTGACTGATAAAACCTTTGATGCCAAGACTTTCAATCTCGGTATACACCAGTAGTCTGCTGTAAGTTTCAACCAGCGCCGGTGCCAATGCCATGTTACTTTTAGATTGTGCCGACTTAATAACGTGACTAACAATGCTATGTATTAAACTCATTTTAGAATGAACAGTTAACGAATCTAAGATTGACATTGATAATGGCGTCGTTGGTCCACTTGCAAGGGCTGCGTTATTTTGCAATGTCTGCATCGGCTGTTGTTGCTGACCTTTCTGAGTACCAAGTATAGTATCAACTAAAGCAGCCATTGGTCTACTAAAATACTCTTGATTTGTAGAATATGCATTACACAGCAAAGCAATACGATAATCAGATCCCATACAAAGAGAAGTATTAGGCATAACTAAATGTTGTAAAAATTCATGGTGAAGTTTCAAAGTGTGTGGTATTGGTCTGTGGATATTTGAATGTTCAGACTGAGCTTTCTTTAGCAAATGTATCCATATACATGTAATAGCCATTTGATGAGTGCATAATGCTCGGGTATAATCCGGAACCGGTAAGGGTTCCTTCTCAGGATATAGAAGATCGTATAATTTTAATACTGGCAAGAAGTTTGATAGTGGATTTCTCTGAATACTTCCAGAAATGAATTGCAATAAAACCCACATTAAGTGATCCCTTCCCTTTCTCAAATCTCTTCCTGCTAATTTGTCGTGTATTGCCATTACGATACTCGGAAAACAGGCGTACGAAAAAAGTACAAAATATATAAGCTGCGATGAAAGATGCAACCATACATAATGATTTGCAACAGTTCCATCGGTTCCTTCTGCTGGTAATGTTTCATTTTCTGCACGTTCCATAGCAAGAATTACAAGTTCTACCAATTGCTCTTCCAAAGCTATACATCGTTGTTTTTGCTGCAATAGAAGCAACATAAAACTATTATTGTTTATATTATTATTATCATTTTTTATTATTATTTCTTTATTATTAAACATACTTGTTTCTGTAAACCAAGCATTGAACACACCATATCCCTACTGTAAGGTTGTTCTAGTACATATCTAAGTAATTCAGTTTGGGGTTTAAGTAAATCTTCATCATAAGGCAAATTTCCTTTTAATGAAAATTTTAATGTTGTTGTGTCAAGTACCCAAGGATTGATCAAATCTGCATATCCAGTATGTTCTACTACAGGCAACATTTTTGAATGTCCAACTATAGATACCATTTGCGCGGTATTGCGGAAACTTTCAACAAAATTTGAAAGCAATTTCGCTAATTTCTAAAAAATTAAATTAAATAAATATTATATATTATTAAATTATGTATTAAGAAAGAAATATGACAAATTTTAACTTTTAAATAACATACCCAGTGTGGCCAATGTTTACCATCAGGATAAGCCTTTTGAATTTCAGTTACAATAAAATAGCCTGGTAATAAACAAGCATTTCTATCAAAAATATATTCAATTACATTCTCTAAAGCTTTCAATTGAGATTGAACAGACGCATCTAATCTTGATGGGATCGTTTGGGCTTTTTCTTTGCATCCCTGCAATCAGCATTTATTAATTTTAACTTCTATAAATTTGAAATTTGTTTCTTTGATAATTACCTTCATTATCTCTCTGACACCTTTATAGTCAACTCCTCCAATGATGTGCCGAATAAGAACAAAACATTCTACCCAAAAATCTTCTAACTGATATTGAAGTTTATCACAATTTAATATACATTCACACACAAGTCTGAAATCATAGGTATTTTATACACAACATTTCATGAATAATATTTTATTCCCAAATTGATCTACCTTGCTGGCAAAACGTTAGATGTGACTAAATTTTCGAGTAATGACAGTAATAACTGTAATCTTCTATGGTTAGTCATTGCCGCTGCCATACATAGAAACTGTTTTACTGCATTCTCTTGCTGTTCTTTGGTTAAATTTGACATAGCGGACGACAATTCTGTTTGCCATGTTGTTATTTTTTCGCTCTCACTATTTGGGTGATGTACCAACACACAACTGAAAGCTTCTTCTATAGCTTCTACTTTCTGTAATAATTTTGCAAAATGATAAAAATTAAAACATGTTGTTACTAAAATATATATTTTTAAAAAATTGAAAGAGAGGTACTATAGAAATAATGCAACTGTTACTTATTAACTTAAATTTTTTATAATTATAACAATTATGACAAATAAACATCACTTTTAACTATCTAAAAATATATAAATACTTAAATGAACGTTCGTTTGATCCAAAATGTAAATACGTATGCCGCAAAAAAATTGAACCTTAACCTTAATATTAATTTTTAAATTATTGTAAAATAGCAATTATAAATGACAGATAAAATAAAATATATACATTAATTATATAAGCATAATGCACACTTACTAAAATATCATTCACAATGGTTGTAATTTGACTTTCACTGGTCATCGTTTTGGCTAAATGATTTTAAGCTTCAATGAAATAAAAATTATAAATTAGCGTACAATAACATCATATTTATACTTTTCATGACTTTCCTTCAATATCCAATGTACTAATAAATTAATTCATATATACAATTTACTATTCTGTTTACGTTTGTATAAACGTGAATGAAAGAAAAGAAAGTGTAATCAATGCCAGTAGCGTGCAACACGTAAGGTGTCGCTGTAATAGGAATTAATATCAAATATAAATCGGAAGATGACGCTGTTGATAATTTTCAGCGAGCAATTTTTGTTCAAATTTTTTACCGTTAGTGTCTCTAGGAAACTTGCTTGAAAAACATGTATAAGTTATTGTTTGACAAAACACATTTCCATAAATTTCTTTACATTTATAAATTTGCTTCAGACACTTTCTTCACTTTAGACGGATGTATCCCATAATTATTGAAAAAGAGAAAGAAATCGTATCTTATTATATAACCTATATACAATCGGAAGATTGAAGTAGATATGTTCTCAGCGAAGTCTAACGTCAAATCAACGTTACTTTACGGACCAGCTGAATTAAGTAAATCTTTTATGTTTGAGGTAAATCGAGATTAGATAATTAAAAAAATTTACGACAGTAATATTTCGTATGCAATTTCAAATGCATTTGAAATATGATTTAAAATAATAAAATTATATGAGGAAATAAAGATCAGAGAAAATATGTGATATGGATACGATATAAAATAAGATCATCTTCAATTTGTTTTTTCAAATAGATCAAAACAATAGATACACAAAGTTACATTTAGAATTGAATTACATTTGAAATAGATAAGTTTTCACCCGTAAGACGTATTCAAGAATAGTGGTGGGGACATCGACGATTAATTAACAAAGCAGAATTTAGTTAGCAAGATAGTGCTACACATAGCGTCTGGAAATTATAAAAATCAACAATCTGTGACCAAATCTCAGTCTCTATTAGTGTGTAAATATTCGCGTTAAGAATTGCACGATCGGCGCTCGTTATGGATCGCTGTTTTGTTAAAAATGATATCGGATTTTTCCGGGATTGGATTTTCTTTCGTAGGCAGCAATTTACTGGGCCGAGGAAGGACGTTGCGTCGTTTACATTACACCAGCCCCGTTGGAGGAACTGCCAGCAGCCTGCCATGATAGAAGTAATCCAGCACCCACCGCTTTCAAGCTGATGAGATTTATGTAAGCGGAACACTTTTCCTACGGTGCTTCTGCACGTGCATCGGCCTTCGGGATTCGTTTCTAAAAAGAGCGCCAGATTTATATCCATTTGACTAAACTAAATCGCTTATTTTGAAATCGTTCGCCTCTCTCGAGGTTCGAGTCTCGAATGCCGGCCAATATATTGCGTACTTGCTGCGTTCTACGACGCAGAAGAATTTATTGCCCCTTTTTGATCTTTTGCTCTAAAAGAATAGTTAACTTACGTTGTTTCTTTCATTCGTTGCAATCATTTCCATTCGATTGACTGGACTGATGGATTACCAAGGTAATATGATTATACATATTGGTAAAATTTGGAAATTATAGTTACAAGTTGCACTAGTATACAACGTAAATATCGAAAATCGGAATTAATCGATTGTATATAGGTTATATAATAAGATACGATTTCTTTTTTTTTTTTTTATTTCTTATTAAAGATCGTCTCAGTAAATATCGAAGTTTATCTAATGAAATAGATAATTGACTGTTTAAATACCTGTGAAATACTTCCGAATATTATATTAATATAAATTTCCAGAAATTGCTTTCCAATTTTATCAATAGAATTGTGGCAGCTGCATCCCATTTGTGACAGATTGATGAAATCTCAGGATATCATCTCGTGTAATATACTCAGTACATTGATAATGGCTTTCCAGAAGTATTCCGAATACTTTCAAGAGCCATTGATTGTTGGATTGCGATACGGGAGGACTCCGTGCTATAATTTTGCGCCATGGAATAATATGTAGAACGAATAGGTTTTGAATTCGAGAGGTTTGTTCAACGTACCGGAAGCGATCGATCAAGGAACATTAGTTATTTTACACGTCACACGCGACAGGTATTGACATTCTACGTGCATGAACATATGCGTTGTTTACAAGCGATCGTATTTTCAGGAGAGGCTTGCGTTAAATGCGCATAGATCATGCCAGAGAACGTTATTCATTCTCGACTGTAGCGGAGGAACTGCAACGGAGTATGTGTATACATATGCAGTTTATTACTGCACAAAGAACTTTGATTCATCATTGTTGAATAAATTTGCTCGAGACTATCCGCCTGTAATAACGAACGCTTTTTTTTTTTTT